TCAGCAGGTTCCTATTAACAGGCCTGTAATGTGTGAGTGGGTAAACCAAATCATTTGCTGTGCTTGTTACTAGCAGAACAACACTGGCAGATCCTCTTTCAAGTCTGGTTGTATATCTGGTTGCAGCGGCAGCATGTGTTTCCTGGCCTGGTTTCCAGTCATGGTGGTGACTCAGTGTAGTGTTTGCAGGCTGAGCTGCCAACCGTGTGTTCCAAATGGGACAGTTCCACTTATTTTTTTTATTTATTATTTTTATACATATTTGTTCAAAGAGCCATGCTGAGAAGCTGCTCTGTTTGTTTCCTTTCTTCTTTTGTTTCATAAACTGAAAAAAATCCTTTCCAGCTCCAGCATCCTTTATCCTCCCATTTCCCTTCATGATGTCACCTAAGCCTATGACAGGAAGCCAACATCTGACATGCAGAGACACCTCTGCACTCTGAGCAGGATGCTGGGACTAAGCACAGTTAGCACATTTTATTCCCAAGACATCCGCATCCAGCAAGTAGAACTGTGCCCTTGGTTTGAACAGATCACAGAAGTGAACATCCTTTCTTGATTCCTGGTGGTTTACCTACTAGGATATTCTCTACTATCCTTAACTGAATGATCTCTAATAATTTTCCATCCTTAATTTCCATGCTTGTGTTTCTGGAGCTTCCATCACTTTATTTTGGCTTTCTCTTATGTAATTTTGCCATGCATTTGGAGATGTATGCACCTCACTTTGTTTCCTCTGTATTTTCCCTTCCACATATCTAAAAATGACGGAAAAGAATTGGTTCGGAAATCTCATTTTGGTGAGAACTGTGGAGCTGGTGTTTCTGAGCCAGTACACTACCAAATAATTTTTGTTGTTGTTGTTGTCAGTTTCTTCCTTTAGGAAAAACTTTCTTCCCCACAAGAACTTTCTTCTGAAAAATATGTCCTAATAAAAGGTCAGAATGTTTCTGCTGCTTTGTATCTCCCCCTTCGTACAAAATACTGCAGGAACTGGTGGCACATCATTATCATTATCGTTATCATTATCATTATTGCTACTGTTACTTCTTCACTGCTCTGACTATAGACCAAGACCTTGTTAGGTGCCAGGGAAGTCTAGTATATTCCTTGCTTCAAAGAGTTTCTATTCTGAGTAGATGGTGTTGTAAATTTCTGTACCTACCCATCCCTAAAGAGTCAAGTAATAATGTTGTACTTATAGGTAATTTTTTAAGATATTTTAATCCTGAATCTCTGTCCTTGGAAACTTACATCATCAGAGCTCCACAGAAAATAGCTTCTAATCTGGATCATCAGAGCCTTTACTCACATTAGCTGTATACCGGCTCCAAATAAAGAGTACCGTTGACACGCTTATATGTGCAGCCTGGGAACCAAATATAAGCTGTGTGTGGGCTGAAAACTTTCCTAGACTTGCAGAGGAAAGATGAGGCTGTTCAGAAGCATGTTTCTAATGTATTGCTTTAATACTGATAAACTCTCAGAAAGAAAAATTCCCAGTCAGGTGAGAGACTGATGGGCTAACATGGGTCCAGTGGAAGGGAATGAGGAGCATGCCTGGGAGGCAATGTGGGATCTGACTCTCCTAATAGTAGCAGTGCTGGCAGAATGATTGATGCTCACGCTGATGAGGTTTGCGTGCAGAGGATGACCGTGCATCTTGGGTCAGTCTTTTTTTTTAAACCAGCTATTCCACTCTTAATGTGCAAGTCCATTAATCCTTGGATTTCAGCAGAGATTTAAATTTTTCTGCCTACACAGTGCTCATCTCTATGTGTGTAGTGATGAATGGATCCTCTCCACACTTTCAAGGAGGCAGATAAGGCACAGAGGGATTAGATGACTTTCCAAAGATGCCCAAGAGATCTGTCACAAAGACAGTGACTGAATCCAGAAACTGGAGTTCAGTGCTAGTTCAGAGCTGTGGCTAACATTCATAATCCCCCCATAAATTTGGTTGGACATCAAATATGGTAGCCAGTAGCAGGACTGATCCCTGTAAGATCTGCTGAAAGCATTCCCAAGGCACAAAGCTGTTGAGTAAGTGCACAGAGACCTTGCTAATGGATTGTTTTTAATTCTTAAATGTTACAGAATAATGGTGATGGAGAGTCAATCAAAACTGTTCTCACATCTCCTGAAAACCGTATCCTTATCAAACGCATGTTGATAAAGTGTGCTGACATTTCCAATCCATGCAGACCCATAGAACAGTGTATAGAGTGGGCTGGACGCATCTCTGAGGAGTACTTTGCACAGGTAAGGCAGCTAAAATGGGCTGCTGAAATTCCAGGTGAGCATCTCTTTAAAAGGGAAGAGAAGGGTGCATATACTGCCAGTGTCCCAGAACATCTAAGGCTGCATTACGTAATGTGAAATATAACAACGTTTTTATTTGAAATGATGGGCTATTACTCATGCCGATACAAGACTAGATGCCTTCTGACAGACGAAAGCTGACAACTCCTACAGTGCAGTTTTTTAAAAATGTAAGCTTTCAAATTGTTCAGTTTGGAGCTGGGCTTTTTGAGTTTTGCCTGCAACTACATTCCCATCACAAGAGGCAGAGGAAGGGTGCCTTTTGTGTACCCACATGCTGGCTGCGCCTCAAGAACAGGATCATCAGGTCCTAGTGTCAGCATGGAAACAGCACTCACTCCAAGAAATGCTGTAAGACCTTAGCACACTGTGCTGAAGAAAGGTTTTAGGAAGATGGGGAGAAGGAGGGGGCAGAGTCATTATTACAGGTCATAGACCAAATACTGCAATTGGGACTTGGTACCTCAGTGGGGGGGAAAAAGAGGATAAAGAAGATATTTTGCCATCTCTGAGTTGTACAGATTGTCGCTTCCATCAGAGATTGAAAATGGTTGAGCATCTTTTAGCTCTGAAGCAGTCATAACTTAATCAGTAACGTGTGAAGTTACTGAGGGTCAGCTTTGTGTGTAGATGCAGGAGGCAGATGTATCGCTTTGTGGGAAACACTGGAAGGCACTATTAGTCTGCTGTTTCGCTGAAACCTAGGTGACTAGGTGCTTAAGATGAAACTGCTGCTTCTTCAGATTTATCCAGGTTCCTCTGTTTATTTAGCAGTTGCATGCTTTAGTCAATGCCAAACAATCTGCTGCTAGAAGCAGCCCATTAACAGAATGTGTCTTAGGTGAATAATCACAAGAGTGTTTTTTGCAGACTGATGAAGAAAAGAGGCAAGGTTTGCCTGTTGTGATGCCAGTTTTTGACAGAAATACTTGCAGCATCCCCAAATCCCAAATATCATTCATTGATTACTTCATTACTGATATGTTTGATGCCTGGGATGGTAAGCAAAATTCTGCTATATTTCCTGACGATAACTATTTTGTGAACATTTGAAACTACTGTGATATAAAATTGGTTTCTTATGGCTCCTAAAGAAAGGGGGAGAAAAGGGAAGATTTCTGCAGTTCAAGTAAGCTTAATAACTTCATTATTGCTTAGAAGTATTTTGATACTTCTACAGGCCATTCTTGTGGCTTCTCTTTAATATATTAGATTCAGGCAGTGTTGAACTTTTTTTGTTTTAAACTTGCTTCTCTGTAAATGGAGAACAGAACATATTCTCCTTGATAGCACTTTGGGCACAGTCATTTTGTCCATGTTAATATCAGTTATTCTTCAAGACAGATTTCTACAGTCTGGAAACTGCTTGAGGGAGCAGCTATTTCCTTCCAAGTGCTGCCTCCGTGGTGAAAGTGGTCGGAAATGTGACTCTCTTGAATGCCAGATCATGACATGTGACTGAGATTGGATGAAGTAGAATAATTACAAGCATAATTAGCTGTGCCCTTCCTGGAAAACTGGGTCCCTTTGCTGGGACTTGCAATACCAGTATTAAGTAGACTTACAGAACTGTTCTCAGTGGCCTGAGTGATACATGAGTGATGAGAGCTATACAGCCAAAACCATTTCAAGTATCAGTATGACAGATTTAAGCTTTCCTACTTAACACAGTTGCCCAGACATTTCAAGTGATATTTAAGCAGACAGAATCATGTGACTGTTTCAATTCTGCAAACTAAATACACTCTGCCCTTTCTTCCCTAGCATTTGCAGACCTGCCAAATTTGATGCAGCATCTGGATAATAACTTTAAATACTGGAAAGGACTAGATGAAAGGAAGCTGCGGAGCCTTCGACCACCACCAGAATAGCAATTAGGCCATGGTGTGTAATTTACTAACCAGATGCATATTTATTCAAGCTCACTTCTGTTCATATGATTTCAGATTTGTTTTGGTCTCTTCAGTATTACAGTAAGGCTAGCGCATGCGCTTGGGGAACTTTCAAATTCAAGAGAACATGAGGTCAGCAGTTGACTTCCACAAACTACCATGTGTGGACTCCAATGAAATAAGCCTACCAAGTGGAATTACACTGGATTGCTGCAGTACTAGTACTGAAGAGGGTTTATTAGTGAACATATTTTTGCGGTATCTTCATACCAGTATGTGAAGCTGGAAGACCTTGAAGAATCCTCATAAAAAGGACATTCACTAGAAGATTTTGCTTAATCCTCAATCCTGCAAGTGAAAAAGAAATACCTATTAATAGAGACTCACAGCTTTTATGAGAAAGCTACATGCTTTTTATAAGCACTTAAGACAGTTACATAGAACAATCAGACATTTAAAATGCAACTCTCTGAAGGAATTTTTGATCTATGAAAAATAGATGTACTCTATTTTTTTCACATCACAGAAGGTGCAATCATTCACTTCTGAGCACTACTGAAAGTGAGTTCTCTCTAAGAAATTTAGTAGCAAATGTAAAAAATAACACAAGAATTTTTGAGGTTGATCGTTAGCATCTATGATTAAAATGATATGTTTTATTTATTTTGTTAGATGTTCAATATTTTCTATGAATTTATAAATACTTAAAAGCCAAAGCCAACTTTAGATGCATTACAAATTTACATGATTCATACTCATTAATATACATTTAATTGATGTACAGACCTTTTATTTTCATAATGCAAATACAAAGTACTATACAATGATACATTTTTATTGCACTGTAAGGATAGATGTGTATGTTTAAATATTGTCTGATTTATGTTAATTAAAATAAGTTTTATTGAAAAGGTCTCACTTGAGAATAGTAGAATAAACAAGAAATGTATACTGTCTGAGCACCAGAACTGCAGTAGTTTTCCCACAAACCAGTGACGACCTCCTGATCTTCCCTTGGCTACAAAAAATAATAATATGTTGGAACTTTTTGTTTTCTCCCATGAAATTTTATGACTGAATTCCCTGTCAAAGTCTGCCTTATTTTATATAGTATTTCTACAAAGCATTCCACAGCATATATGAAGAGGTAATACTAAACATCTAATGAATTTCACCATTTTATAGCCTATGTATTTTCCTCTGACATGAAAGAAACAGAACCACCAACAAAAACCTTTGACTCAAGAAGTTTGTAAAGGGTGTGTACCTTCACAATTTGAATGAAATCTTCATAGCAAACACCAGAAAATAATAAAATGTATATTTTAAGAAGTGTCAAAGTCCTAGCCATTTCATTTGAAACGTATATCTACTTTGTGGTTTGCAGACTAAGATACGTGAAATTCTTTTAAAAATAACTAAGATACTTGCTGTCTGGGGAAGGGAAGAGTTGAGGGGGTTGGACTGGCACAAGGGTGATGAAAGGTATGGCTGGCAGGCCCCTGGGTTTGTGGCCTGCCCTTGACAAGCCCATCAAACCCTTGTGTGCCCTTGGACAAGTCTCTTCACAGCTAAAAGCAGTGCCACGCTGTATTCCACTAAAGGACTAGAAGAGCATCCTGTCAGCCTTCCCGGTAGGGAGAAAGGCACTCCAAAAGCACTGAAAGAATTGCTGACTATTGTCAGTGCAGAGGCAATTGACTTGTAGAGACATTTTGAACCATTCCTGAACAAGCACAAGCAGGGGAGAGGTGGATGATGGAGCAGTTCAGGGACTGCAGCAGTAGGAGCCTTAAAGCAGGTAAGAAAGGAACAGGTGACCTGTCCAGGTGTTGCCTGTTTCTGTGTTTCTCCTTCATCTCCAAGCCAGTGAGACTCATGGGCCACCACCATTTGTACCTTACTACTGTTCATGTTTGCGTCATGCCTTTCTGCCGGTGCTGCCCTTACCCTGCTTGTGTGCTCTCCCTTCCTACACAGAATTCAGGTTATAGGGAATTCCCTTTCATAATTTCCTTTAGTTCATCGATGCGTGTATGCTGCCTAAGCCGGTAGGGCTCAGATCCTGCCTAGGAGGGCCCTGACCGTGCCACTGTCTCACTGACAATAGTAGGACAGAGGTCCTTGTTGATATTCCAGGGGTTCTACAGTCGATAATGAAGGTGCAGATATATTTCCATTGAAGGCTGAAAAAACTCAAGTATCCTATTTTCAAAGGGAACATGCAAGGAAAGGGAGAGTTGGCTGCCAGATATGTTTTTTCCTGACAATATTACATTATCTTTCGCTATACATGCACCTATTGTAATCAGCTGTAATTTGCCACCTGGCGTTAATCTCTTCTATTGCATGCAGGCTCCTGTGCCTAGTTCAAGGAAAAGCCACTCTGGCTCCATTAGAGGGAAGCTGCATCACACCGTCAGTATCTCCTCCACTTACCTGGTGCAATGAGGATAGGAGAGGAAAGGTAACAGCATATGGGCCCAGAGAATGTCTGCAGGAAGGGGGTAAAAATATTTCTTCATAAGCATAGTTAATATTCTGGGTTCTATTAATGAATAGTAAAAGCAGTTAATTTAATCTGGTATAAAAATGCCTGATGCATCATCATTGAAAAGATATGATCAATATGATTAATTCCCTGAAATTCACACTGCATCTTTAATGCCATTACTTGGAGTGTAGAGCTGTGCTAATCAACTAAATCTGTATCATCAGCCAGATTTATGTCCATATTGGTGTACAATAATTTCACTTAACATAAAACACTGATTTGCAGCCACTGAATGCAGCTCTGTTCATTCTGTTGTCCATCTAAATTTCGCTGTTGCCAGGGACAGATTATAATTAAAGTCTGGAACCACCATGCCTGATCTCACCTAAGATCTCTTCCCACTGAGCTTCTCTCTACAAGCCACCCCTCTCAAGCCTTCTGTGCAGGTTCAGCGAGGGCGATTCGAGGCTGCTGCCCGTGCAGCAGGAAGGGCCTTGCTGTGGAGCAGTAATAGCTCTAATGTGATATTCATCGCTCCAGGATCCAGATGTCTTTGGATCCCACTGCAAACTCTTCAGCCATTCCAGATCCCCTTCCTTTCTTCTCCGAGATTAGATTGCCCTGTGCTCTGAGCCCTTTCCAGTTTAGTATCTCTTCCTATGCTTTTGGAACTGTCACTCAGTGATGGAGCTCTGCTTGGGACAGAAACCAGGGCTTTACTGATGGTCCTTCACCATGGAAGGGAGACACTGGAATAAACTGGAAGAGTATGATTGAAGCTATTCCCAATTTCAGACAGGCTGGCAGTCTTATACAGTGTCTGCACTTTTCATTTGTTCTTGCTTTAATGCTAATACAAGAGTAAATTCCAATGTAGATGTGATGAAGGAGAGGTCCTTTATACACCTCTGGGGTTTTAATCTTAAAGCTTTGTGTTTTAAAACTGAATAAGGTTCAGCAATTCAGCATTAAATGACCCATTCAGAATGACTGGCTCTATTTTCCATGCTGCATATTTTCAATCAGGTAATACTGCTGCTAAACCTGGGTATCACATTAGTTGCTCCCACATGAGTCTGAACTATTATGATCTGGTAAAAAAAATGTTGGCTCCTCAGCAAATTGCCCTAGATGAGTATCTTGGTCCCTTCAAGGGACAGGTAGAAAATTCCGAGTAATAGTTGCTTATTCTTACAGAAGGAGAAACCAGACAGGTGTCGTCCACAGCTACCTTGTCACAGGTCTGAAGATGGCTTTCATACTATGATTTTCCCAATGGCTATAAATAAATTAAAAATCACCTGAAATTGAATGAATGCCTTGGGTTTTATTGCAGTGCTTTTTGCGGTGGCTGTCTCTGCTTGGCTCAGTAGAGACATCATTGATATGACCCTTAAGAAAATGTGTCATGAACATGAAGGAATTGAAGCAATGACAAAGCCATTCCTACATAGAAGAAAGGATAATAAAATTCAGTATCTACTAATCCCTTACAGGATGCTCAGAAACAGCTCAGGGAAACTGTAGTCAGTTGTGCCCTTCTGTGAGACCAGAAGGGTTTGAGTCATGACTCTGTGTGGAGCACTTTGAAATGAAGTCTCAGGGCTATTCACAGGCTTTAAAACAAATAATCTCTCTGTTGACGTGTGACATCATGCCTCCAAGGTACAGTGATCCCAGGGGTGCTCGTTAAATGATAGCAGAATGGATTGCATTTCATCCTGACATGATGTTTGGATGCAGAAAACGAGCTCTTAAATTACTGCCGTGTCCCTGTGCAGCCTGTACTGCTGGTTCAGAACAAAGGGGATGGCCAGGTGCTTCAGCTATTTTTTGTTCTGCTGAAGCTCTGGCTCTGTGGGCAAAGGACTTCTGTGTTGTAACTCCACTGAATGCTTTCTCTCGGTGCCTGCTATGAATGTTACGAGGGCAAAGTGTCTCATGTTTTCTTTTTTTTCCGTTGTTTAACATCTTTAAGAATCTCCTCCCACACTTCCCACACAAACCTCAGTGAACTTAGCTTCGCAAACCCTGCGAAGCTATGTGCTAGCATCCTCTTTAACAAGCAAGGCAACTGAGTTAGAAAAGGCCAGGGCACCCAGAGCCACTAAGCAAAATGAGTTTGAGGCTTCTAAACACCTTTGAAGTCCTGGACCTTCAAGCCCTCCCTGTGATTTAACAGCAAGTCTTTCTCAGGCCAGGAGACAGCCTTCTGGTCTTCTGATGTTCCACTTTTTCCCTCTCAGCTTCTGTGTCTTTCATTTTTCTTCTGATCCCATTTGCTAGGAGTCCTTCCCTTAACTTCCACCGCTGTGGATCTCCCTCGAACACATAGCCGTAATGGTGGGACTAAATTCTGCCTTTCAAACTGACACTTGCTGCTTACAACTTTTACCACAAGAAAATCCTTTTCTGATTCAAGTTAAAGCGACCCTCGAAAAATACCCTGTAATGGCTGAACACCTTACACTGGTATCCACAGGCAGAAGGAGAATACAAACATAATTAACTAAAACAGCTTGTGAGCACTGCATTGCTACTGTGTACAGCGTGAATATGTATGCAAGGTCTTTTGTATTGTACTCCCACATACAAATTGAAGTTCAGGAGTGTTCGCAGGCACCTCTGCCTTTGGGGTTATGTTAGCAA